AAATGTGTAGATTGCTCTGGGTAGCATTGACATTTTCACAATATTTGTTCTTCCAATCCATGAGCATGGAACGTTTTTCCATTTCTTTGTGTCTTCCTCAATTTCTTTCATGAGTATTCTATAGTTTTCTGAGTACAGATTCTTTGCCTCTTTGGTTAGATTTATTCCTAGGTATCTTATGGTTTTGGGTGCAATTGTAAATGGCATCGACTCCTTAATTTCTTTCTTCTGTCTTGTTGTTGATGTATAGGAATGCCACTTATTTCTGTGCATTGATTTCATATCCTGCCACTTTACTGAATTCCTCTATGAGTTCTAGCAGTTTTGGGGTGGAGTCTTTTGGGTTTTCTACATAAAGTATCATATCATCTGCAAAGAGTGAGAGTTTGACTTTTTCTTTGCTGATTTGGATGCCTTTTAGTTCTTTTTGTTGTGTGATTGCTGTGGCTAGTACTCCTAGGACTATGTTGAATAGCAGAGATCATTTGATTCTTTTTTATTTCTCTCTTTTTTTTAATTATTACATTATGTTAATCACCATACATGACCATTTGATTCTTAAGATTCATTTGTCATCTATGTCTTTCTTCTTAAATCTCCAAACTGACCAGGGATTAAAAGCTTTTAGCAATATTTCTCAGGTGTCTTTTGCTTATTTCTCTATTATTCAGCACAGTTGGCTACTGGCTTTTATAGTATGTTCTTTGTCATGAGAATGTAGGTACTTGGAAATGTACTTAGGAACTACAGGCCACCTCAGGGTATTAATTTTTATACTACTACTTGTGTTGGTAAAATCTTAGAGACTTACCCCCTCCCACCACAGTGTTTCTCTTCCTTTGAAGAACAATAGAACCTTTCCTCTTCCAGATGTCTGACAGTCCTAAAAACTTGACTAACCTAGGAGAGAGAGGTCAGTACTTCAATATCAAGTTGATATGGGAGCCTTCAGGATAATGACCACATCTTTTGTATCTCTTATGTTGCAAATGTGTATAGCATTGCCTCATTAATTTTAGTGGATTGATTGAAATGTGCAGTCACTTCATTCCTATGTTGGTATCTGAGACCATACTTTGGCTGTGGCCTCTTCTTACTACTTCTTAATTTGTATAAATTCCTCTTGCTCTCAGATACATTGATTTGCATTTGCTTATGGTTGTGCCTTGTGGATTAGGAAACTTTAGAAATATTGGAGAAACAACTTGTTTTCTGAAAAAGAAATTTGTGTATTATGTTTTCCTTTATTTCCATATTTTTGTCAGATCAAGAACAACAACTTTGGGATGTAAAAAATCTTGCAAATGTAGTAATTCAACTTACAAATGAACTATTATTCATTTTTCTTAGCCTATAGATTTGATCTAAAACATGTTTAAATGTAGACTACCTCCTTTTCATTATTTGATCATTCATGTTTTTCTCTCTGGAGAACTTCACTTAGGCTAGAGCCAAGTTAGTGTGTCTAGAAAATGATGTGAAGTAAAGAATTTTGATTATATGCCAACACACTGTACAACCTAGAAGAAATGGGTAAAGTATTAGAAACACAATTTTCCAAAATGGAAGCAGGAAGAAATAGAAAATCTGAACAGATCGATTACAAGTAACAAAATTAATTCAAAAATTAAAAAACTACCAAAAATAAAAGTCCAGGATCAGATGGATTCACAAGTGAATTCTACCAGACATTTAAAGAAGAGTTAATACCTATTCTCTACAAACTATTCCAAAAAATAGAAGAGGAAGGAAAGCTTTCAAATACATTCTGTAAGGCCAGCATTATCAAAACCAGAAAAGATACCACAAAAAAGGAAAACTACAGGCCAATATCCCTGATGAACATAGATGCAAAAGTCCTCAATAAAATATTAGCAAACTACGGGGCGCCTGGGTGGCTCAGTCGTTAAGCGTCTGCCTTCGGCTCAGGTCATGGTCCCAGGGTCCTGGGATCGAGCCCCGCATCGGGCTCCCTGCTCGGCGGGAAGCCTGCTTCTCTCTCCCCCACTCCCACTGCTTGTGTTCCGCCTCTCGCTGTGTCTCTCTCTGTCAAATAAATAAATAAAATCTTTAAAAAAAAAAAATATTAGCAAACTACATACAACAATACTTTAAAAATATCATTCTCCACAATCAGGTGGGATTTATTCCAGAGATGCAGGAGTGGTT